GTTCAATATTGAACATGATTGAACTGAACCTGAACCTGAACTTGACCAAAGTTCGGTTTCAGTTTGGTTCATAGGAACACTAGAATGAAAATTATTGGTTCACAAAATATAGAAGTCTTTTTAAAACTAATGAATCACCAGTTCATATCAATCCTGAAGTTAAGAGATATTAGATGATAAGAGAAATTATCTTGGATTAATTATAATGAACTAAGAATAAGGAAAAGAAGGATTTGTAACTATATATTGGGCACATTGGTTCGATAATACATAGTGGGATGTTGCACTTAAAGTGATTCGTGATTCGAACAAAAATGCGCAAGAATTTGTCTAGGAATTAAAAAATTACTGTGAAATTGGAATTATTTAGGAGTGTCAAGAAATGATCATGGTGATTATATTATTGTCATGAAGTTTGTAATAGAAGGTCATTACAAAAAAATCTTGTACGAGTATCACAATTAGAATAGAAGGATAAATTGAATATTTTGTACTGTATAGCTTTGGATCTTGAGTCGATTCATTCGCAGAAACTCGTTTACAGAGATTTGCTCAATGGAAACATTTTGCAAGATCATTTGCAAAATGCACATGTCGCAGATCTTGGACTTTCTAAAAGACTACCATATATAGTGCCAGAAGTTTTTGTGGATCAACTGTATACTGAAGCATGAGATATTTACAGTCTTGGAGTTATCACGACAGAAATTTTAAACTGATGAAGAGTATTTATTTGATGGAATGCAATTTGAGATTATTTCATATCAAAGATTATCGATGGATTAAAGCTTAAATGTTTGGGACCGGATTTTTATATTAAATTAGCTATGAAACGTATGGATAAAGATTTTAATAAATGAACCTATCACAACAAAAATTAAGGAAATAATCACTCATTGGTTAAGTGAAATAAATCAAGCGGATTATAATAAAATCAGATATTAATTTTTGGTTTCCTGTGTCTTGTCACTTCTGTATTTGTCTAATTCTTTGTTGTCATTTACCTTCCATAATTGTACTATCATAGTCATGTTAATTAGTATTAGGCATTGTTATGTATCCTTGTGGTCTAATTCATGCAAAAGCATTTACACTCCAAATAGCGCATATATGCTATTGCATAAATTTGTAATCATTGCGCATGTGGAATCTACAGTGTAACCATTGAGATCTCTATGTTTACAATCTGTAAAATTAGAATGTATATAAGAGTGTCTTTATCCTAAGTTTAGGTAACGTTCGCTCTCCCAAATTCCTCTATAAATAAAGATCATATATAATTACATTCCTTTTTTGTAATAAATGCCTAATAAATTATGAATACTCGAATACTATAATTTATTGCCTAATTCATGTGACCCTTCTAACATCAACCATCAGAGTTGAACTTGGCATGACAGTACCAAGTTCTCCCTTATGATATGCAAACTATATGATACAAAAAAATTTTTGAATATCCCCAGGTCCAACTACAATTCAGACTCAGACTAGTCTGCAGACTTCGGACCAGATCTAGACCAAACTCAGGCCTGACTAAAAAGTCTGAATATAAAAGTCTGAGTCCGGTCTGAAATCAGACTAGATTAAAGTCTAGTTCGGGTCCAGTCCGTAGGAGCACTATCTGTAACTAGAAATGGGTTTCATGCGTGCGTATAATTCCTCAATCGTGTGCTTTAATGCACATTCATGTGCATGATTCAGAATCATGCACATTTTATCCTATCTAAATTTTATATAGGAAAAATAAAGTATATTTAATTTAGGCCAAGATGTATAATGCCAGGCAAAATTAAGAAATAGTAATGCGGAAATTTTGAAAAATTCTAAAAAAAAAACTAATAAGCATAAAGATGAGAAGGGTCAGGGAAAAATTTTTGGCAAATATCTGATATTTTCCGAAGGGAAAATATAAAAATAAAAAAATTATATCATGCGATATCATGCGCATTTTATATAATGTGCGCATGTTATTATAAAATGTGCATTTTTCTCATCTCTACCTGTAATCCACGAACTTTTGTAGTAACCTTTACCTCTTCTAAGTTTGCATGCCTCTTAGCTATCACACTAGTCCAAAACTTATAAATGCATCTAAACCATTCTGTATAGGAATCGATTTTTAGCTATAAAAATTTTTTAATAGATTCTTTAATTAACAATAAACAAAACCACAAATAGAGGTAGCCACACTTCTGTAAGTTCATGAAAAGATATTGGAGAAACTGTAGTCCATCACCATTTAAGAACCATAGTCTAGTGGTTTTCCTCAATCCCAGTTGTAACAGAGTGGAACCATAGTCCAGGAACTGTAGTCCCCCATGCTCCCTGTCACAACTGCCACGTAACTTGCAAAAGCATGACCTTATCTTAAATTGTTGCAATATTCTTTTTGCTGATTTCTTTTCTTCTTCTGAACCCTCATTTTTGAACCAGTCAAGTTGCTTGTAAAGTGATGTTGTAACCTTCATCTTGTTTATTGGAAGTTTAGATGCACACTATTCTTCATGATATTCAAGTGCATTCCAAGCTTCACAGGGCGTTATGATGAAATGGGAAAAACCTGGTTTCTTGTAAATTTCGTTTTTTGAGAAAAAAAAAAACTCATACCAGAAACATTTTATGGTGAATAAATCGAAGGCAAAATCTTAAAGTTGATTTACAGTCTTTCTCATAAATATACTAATTCTCGCAGTAAATATATTGCATGATTTCGGGTTAGCAATCTTTTTATTCAAGAACATTACAAGTCATTAGCTATATGCTTTATCCAGTTTTTGGAAATGCTAAACCAAAATTTGACAAGTATGATCAAATTATACCACTAATCAGAATGACAATTATCACTCTGTTATTACTTTAAAATTTACAGAATTTAAGTATAAAAGATTTCATTTATGGATGTCATGTATGGTAATTTCATGCATAAGTTATATTATTAATTGGGATATGGATACATAAGATTAATAACATGCATTAGTGAACTACGAAAACTCATGATAATTAGATACAAACTTACTAGAATGTAAGTTCTGTAATATTTTTTACAGTAACTCATGATGGAAATAATAATTTCAATCCAAACTTACTCTTAATCACAGAAATCAAGACATTTCCGTGGTCACCAAAATAGCAAGTTTTATCGTGCTTTTCAAATTACTGTGATTATGCATTACACATCACTGGAAATGCAAGCCTGCGATTGGCTAAAATTATAATACGTAATTGTATTGTATGTATTATTTGTATTGTATGTATTATGTAAAAGTTCTAGTATTGAATATTTTTTAAAAAAATTGATTGAAGATTTCTTTATAATGGCCCGGTCAATTTCAATGCTTAAGACCATTTTTAAATTCTACTGACCATTAGAATTTGAAAATAACTTCGAATATCGATAATGAGCAGACATTATCAAGATAAATTCATTTGAAGTTTGAGAAAGTTTGGGCAAAAAAAGTTAAAAATATTAGTGTTTCTTGACTAGACAATTACAAGATATTATATATAAATGGATAATGTACTAGAGAATTAGATATACTGTACAAATTTTTTTTAGTGGTATAAATTGCAAAAATTCCGTTTCTGATGGATCGTCGATACTGTTCCTGATGGGATGAAAATAAAACCGATTTACATACCGTTCCTGATAGGAATTAATTCTCATTACGGTGCTTAGTTATAATGCGAATGCCCGTGATTGATTCACAACTTCTTTCCTAAATATTGATCTTAAAATAATACAGTACCTTATGGTTCTACCACAAAATCCCGAAAACCATTTTCCCGAAAGAACATAATACCGACTAAATTGGCCAACATTATAACTAATGCCGGCCAACTTTGTCGGTATTAGGTCCTTTCGGGATGGTAAACCCGTACCGTATCTATGTGAAAAACTTCCATAGGAGCTAATAATTAATTTAGCAAAAGAATTATTAATATTAAAATTATGGTTGTATTCGGCTAAATTAAATATTAGCACTCTTTGAATTACTTAAAATAATGACCATAGGCATGAATCAGTAAGAAAATTTGGGTTGAAAAACTTTATTGATTGAATACTAATTTCCGTTTTTTTTTGAATTTTTATGTGTTGACCTTATAATCTGGTTGGCCAGCAATAGTGGACTGCCAAATTTTTATATAGAACCTATCAGGAACGGTACGTAAATCAGTTTTTTTTTCATCCTATCAGGAACAGTACCGACGATCCATCAGGAACGGTATTTTTGCGTATAAATTAAATACTTTTCAAAATTTTTTATTAATACGTAGCAAATAATTTTTATTAATTTTTTATTATATTAATATTATTACCAACTATTTTTTCTACGTATTAATTTTTTCTTTTTTTAAATAGCAAAAAAAAAAAATTTATATGAAAAAGACGTTTTTTTTACTTTATTTACAAGATTTACATGGGTTTAATTATCTAAAAAATTATAATGTATAAAAGAAACCGTTTACTTACTACGTATTCTAACCCTCTATAGCTTATTATAGACATAGATTATATGACAATTGGATATTGAAGGATTTTCAACCTTCATTCCAATTGCCCTCCGTTTCAAAAACTTCATCAAAGTGAAAAAATAGTTTATATTTTTTTTTAAATAATTTTTTTTTAAAAAAAAAATCGTGCTTTAACCAAAAAAAGCTTTTTTTTACAAATTTTAAGTTAAAAATTTTTAATTATTTTTTATTTATTTTATTTGATTCGATTAGAGGAATACAATGCATCACATTAGCGGTAAACAAAAATTTAATAAAATGTTTAAATAATTTAAATTAATTGCGACACATTTATATGCAAGAAAATGATTACGCGATCAACTTATAATTTGATCTTAAAGATCGATTTTGTTTGACCTTCTATTTAGAAAACATTCTAAACTATTGTAATTAAAAAAAGTTTAGCTGATGTTTTTTTTTTAATAATTAAAACCCAATCAAATTACAATTATGATAATATTACAGTTAAGATTGTATATTGTGCTACACAAACGAAGTAACCAAAAGGGAAAGAACAAAATTAAGATTATTAACATAGTGTAAGGATTGACCCCCCTATCGTTTCATTGTTTGGTATATAAAACATAATGTCGAGATATCGAGATTATTCTTTCATTTAAAAAATAATTTGTGGTTAATTGATAATTTTGGAAGATTTAAAATTAGATTAAAAAGAACACAAAAATGCATAAATCTCAAAGATCATATAACGTTATTGTATGTATAATGTGTGACATGAAATTTGAATGGTGTTCTGTATAACTATGAAATTGATTAATATATGCGCTGAAAGCGCTTATTGGTGCAGTTCATTACATATATTTTTGAGTGTAATTTATTAATTTATACTAATTACTTGTACGCCATACATGCATTGTTGTAAGGTTCTTACCGAGTTAACATTATAATCACTGTTATATAATCACATGGCTGTAAATTCGTGTATAGATTGTCTTTAAATTATTTAGAGTTCAGGCGTTCACTTTGAAGACTCTTTTCTTCTTTGATAGGACTCACGATAAGCGTTACATAATATTATATAAATACTATACACTGATATACAGTATATAAGGTTCAATAAGATTCGGGATCGACTTTGGCATGGATCTTATCCATGCAGGAAGCCAAGAATTTTGACATTTTGAGTGATCAAAAGTATTGCCGTGGGGGTAAAACAGATAACCAAACTGCTGTGAAACAGACTTATTCGGGCCTTTCGAACTATCACGTGACTTTAAGTCTTCTCATAGAACTTTAACGTTAAAATTACCTACTCACTTTGGTCTAATGGCTGTAAGGAGAAGATAACGCCTTTGTAACTTGTTCTTATTGTTATTACTGACGCCTTAATATGTGCAAAATTTTCGTAAATATAAGACAAATGCTCTGATATGATACCTCAAATAAAGATTTTCTTTTGGCATATATGCGCATAATAAAATTGAACTAATCCCAAATACGATTCTTAAAAGAGTGTATTTTATGTCACGGGAAAAGCCCGCAATGCTTATCGTTATATTAATATGTGCGCACATAGGTAACTCAAAAGGTATGTTTGTTCATATTTTTTATGGAAGCTTTATTACGTATGGTATTAGTGTAAATAATATAAATACCAAAAATTAACAAATATGCGCTCAATCAAATCATCGCATATAGCAAAGGCAAACAAAAAGGTAAGGGGAATTTACGACTGTAACACTGGCCAATCTTAATGTCTATATGCTCGCCATATATGCTCAGTTTAACTGTATAACTGCCATATTTGTTGTGTTCAAGGGGAATCCCATCGACACCCATCCCTTTCTTTTTTCCCGTTTCCTCTACTAAAGTTGTCCCTCCTTTTTTCAATTTGCAATTACTCTTTCTTTCGAGTATATTGTCAATATCATCCACGACGCTAAAGGTTAAAATCTTGCGATTTTTTCAGCAAATTAAAAAAAGTGTGTTTGTGAACCTTGATGAAATAATTTGTTTTGGATAAAGAGTCATTACTATTTAAGACGAAAAAAGTGTACATTTTTGATTATCGTTACTTTCATTAGTGGCGAACTTTTGATCTCATTTTATAATAATTCACTTTTTTATTGCTACTGTATCTAACATCATCCAATCGGCCTCAAATACCAACTAACCATGAAGTAGATCTTTAAAGATTCTCCAAAGATCTGTCGTATAAAAAAAAAAAAAAGGAAAAAAAGCCTTTATAATTTCATTTGGCCTTTTTCTATTTTTTTTTTCAAAGTACCTATCCTTTATCGTGTATTAATAAATTTAACGTGTCGACGATTGGTTGTCAAATAATATCATAGTAAACATTTAAACGTCTAACATTGTCATTGATAAGCAAACTATTCAAAAATCATGTCCAAGAAACCTCCGGCAGCAAAGCCGGTCAATGATTTAATAAGATTTTGGGCCGCACAACAAGAAGAAAAAGCAGCAAAAACAGAACCAAGTTCACGATCACCTCGACGTCCGTTGTCTCCAACTCAATCAACACAACCCACACAATCCATACAATCCACACCTTCGTCTCCAAAAGGTTCAGAACCATTATCACCAAGATCATGGATCACCAATAGCCCCTTTGGTTCGAATTTAGCAAGTGCTCCGCCTCCGTTATCGCCTACTCAACCATTGCCTCCACCTATGCCCATTGTGATTGAAAAAAATAGCTCATTGGCGAATAAATCAGTAATAGCGGATCGATTAAATGATATTTTTGGAAATAATGTAGAAACTAATGAAGAAAAGACTATTAATGCAGATATTAAAAGTGATACGTCGAAAATTGACACAGTGAAAAATAATAATAGTTCGACGGTTGATTCAAAAACGGTTACAACTCAAAAGGATCGAGGAATTTTACCTCAAGACTCATCATCATCGTCATCATCATCATCATCACCTGCTCAAACTCAATCACGAAAAGATTCAATCACACCCGTCGAAAAACCTTTTTCACCAAAAAATACAAGTTTTAGTGAGCTTGGTTCACCTACCAGGACAGTTCCTCCAAAAGATATTTCATTTCTCACTAAAACGCGCGATGCTAAAACTCCGGTCCAACGCGAAACAATTCCACAAGCAAAAAAAGTATCAAATTTGGTGTCTCAGTTTGAAAAAGCAGTAACACCACCTACTTCACCTACCGCTTTATCACCCGTCAAACGATTTAATACTATTCCAGATCCATTGAATTCATCATCCAAACCAATACCACAACCTATTTTGCCACCTGTTAAACAAGTCTTTATCGAAATATCTCCAAAGTCTACTCATAATGTTAATAATGTTGGTGGTACTAGTGGTAATAACGGATCTAGTTCTAATAACGGGTATAACTCTAATAATGGACCTAGCCTTAATACTAATACTTCCAGTGTTAATAACGGACCTAGTGTTAATAACGTATCCAGTGTTAATAACGTAACCAATATTAATAACGTATCTAGTGTTACCAGTGTTAATAATGGACCCAGCGTTACCAGTGTTACTAGCGTTACTAGCGTTACTAGCGTTACCAGTGTTAATAACGGACCTAGCGTTACCAGTGTTGCCAGTGTTAATAACGGACCTAGCGTTACCAGTGTTAATAACGGACCTAGCGTTAATAACGGACCTAGTTTTAATAACGGACCTAGTGCTAATAAAGTATCTAGTGTTAATAGCGGATTTGGTTTTAATAGTGGATCCAATTCCAATAACGGATCCAATTCCAATAACGGATTCAATTCCAATAATGGATTCAATTCCAATAATGGATCCAGTGTTAATAACGGATCAAGCACTAATAGCGGATTTAATACTAATAGCACTAATACTGCTAATAAAAGATTTAGTGTTAACGTAAACGATACACCGTTAACTAGAGGTCTTGTGACGCAAAATGAACAAGAACCTCTAAAAATATCAACTTCTAATATTGCTTCTGATGCGAGCTCTGAATCATCTGGGACGTCAACACCAACAGCATCTACACCTGTGTCAACATCACCAAAAAAATTGGCAAAGAGAAGGAGTAGACCTCTTCCAAGACCGTTATCTATCACAACTCCAGTATCTCCTAAATCGGCGTCTTCAGCGTTTATCCCGCAAACTATTCCAGAAATATTGCCAGTGACATCACCAGATAATAAATTCACATCTCCATCTTCATCCGTAACTTCATCCGTAACTTCATCCGTTCGATCTGCCAAGATAACAACCTCCAATGATGAATCAAAAATTTTATCTTCTGCGTCATCGCTTAAGTTATCAGTTCGTGAATCAGCATCAAACACAGAGGCCGTTTCACCTATGTCATTACTTTTTGTTGATGGTTTGCCACAAATACAACCATCTTCACCTTTACATATAACGATGCCTGAACCGTTGTTTACAAAACATGACAATTACTCATCTTCTACGATCTCACAAATCTCACAAATCTCGCAATCTACATATTCCACTTCAACTCAATCAAGGCGAGAATCTATAATATCATCCAGTAGAGATTCAACAATTAAAAGAACGAATCAGCAAGAATTAACTCGACTTCCCGAGGTGTCATCACAATCTTCTGGTTCACGTACTCATATTTATCAAACACAACCTTCATTGTCGGATGTTTCAGATTTGTCATTTACATTTGAATCAACGATTCAACAATCGTTAAAGTCGGATACTCGCAATTCTGTTCAACGAGTTTTAACACCAATACCACAAATCAGATCAAAAAGCCCTGAAACTATTTCAATTAAAAGTACTGAAACGGTCACAACTAAAGGACAAGGATATTCGGAATTAGTTTTACCAGAAATTAAACAAACTTCACCAATGTGGGGTCCTTTACCTAATAATTATTCACCACCATCACCAATTCATTCATTCACCCTTAGTGATTCATTATATTCAGTTCCAAAATCATCGATTCCAGAAACTCGTTCAATAACTTCGGCATATTCAACTAGAAGTACTTTACCTGAATTATTACCAGAAATTAAACCAACATCCCCAATGTGGGGTTCCAATAAGGATACAAATTTTTCATTTAGTAATTACGCATCATCTCATCCTGAACCATTATCACAACTTAATGTAGCAGTTTGGCAAACTATGGTAAAATCATCTAATGATGATGATGATGATCAACAAACCACACCGACTCAAAAAAATATTCCATCTTCAAAAACTTCTGGATACTTATCTTCTATTGATAAAGATGATGATTTATTACCACAAGCTACTCCTATATCACCTATAAAATTTGATATACCTGAACTTGGATTATTAGAACCTTTAGCAAAAGTTCAACAATCATCAACGCATAAAGATCATACATCAACAGCTCCATTGAAACGTGAATTACCTGATCCATTATCAAATACATATACATCACCAAATTTAATATCTGATGGTGATAAAAATAATTGGGGATTTTGGAATGATTCTCCTCCAGAATCACCTAATAAATTTAAGTTAGATTTGGATCGATTTAATAATTATTTAAGTAAAAAAGATCCAGACGGTGATCATGGTGCTACAGGATTAAAAAAGGGAAAAGGAAGAAAGTACAGTACTTTTTTAGACAAAACAAACATTGACCACCCGGATGTTTATAAAGTTAAAGCTGGAACAAAGTTAGATAAACATAAATCTTTACCATTAACACAAGATGACATTACTCATAAGAAAGAAATTCATGAAACTCGTATGGAAAGTGATAAAATGGATCAAAGTGATGATTATATAAATTCAGAAGATAATAATATTCCAATATTTCAAAGGAAACAAACACGTCCATCAAGAAAATCGATTCCAAATTTTTATCCTTCAAAATCAAAAAAATCCAAATTAACCGATGAACAACCACATGGAATGACAATAAAATTACGTAAATCGGGAAACTTTCAAACATTCCCTTTATCAGATGGATCAAAAATTGGAGCTAAACGACAAAAATGTAAACCAATACAAATTTTAAAATTTCCTTATAGTACTATTAGACCACAAAGAAATACTTTATCATCAGCTAGTGCACTAAAAAAAAATCCATTTCTTAAATCAATTAAAAGAAATTTTGGAGATCGTAATTTACCAGAATATACATTATCAAAAAGTAAAATGTCATTTATGGTACCACATAATTTAGCATCAGTAGAATTTGGTAAACTTAATCATTCTGTACCTGATCTTACAGTACGTGTAAGACATCAAAAATTTAGTGAAGCATATAGAAAAATTAATATGACAGTACCAGATTTTACAAGATTTGATTCAGTAATGAAAGATTTTGAAGGAAAAAAGAAAACGGAATTTAATATTCAAATAATGAATAATGATTTAGATTCTGATCCTTCAAAAATAACCAAATTTAGTATTAATCCATTTGATGAATCTGAATCAAATGAATTATTTAAATCTGGTTCTCCTTGGATACATTTACCACATTTAGATGAATTTATAAAAAGTTTACCACAATCGGATTTTTCAAATCCAAAAGATTTAATGACACAAGAAGAATATGAAAATTTTATAACATCAAGTAATAAATTAGGAAAATATGCCGATTCTTTATTCCCACCGTTGAATCAGATTCCAGATGAAGTTTCTCTAGATGAACTTAAATCTAATATAACTAGTAAAGAGAAATCACCAATGCATAATGATTTAATATCTACAGCTATTGATGGCGTACTTATTGCTGAAGCTTCAGCATTTGGAAATACATTTATGAAATTAGAAATTTTAAGAGATTTTATACAATTTTTAACACTTGCATTGGCTTTTGGAAGCGCAGGAACCGTTGATGGATGGTTAAAAATTTTATTAAATACTATACCAAACTTTTTAAGTCTTAATTTGGCTAATGTATTTGGAAATGGGATAACATTTTTATTGGTATTTTTTGTTATTGTAATTGGAGCTTTATATTGGTTTAGAATGATGACTAAATGGGATCCCAACGCCGACGCTGAGGTATATATAAATAATTGAAATGTTTTATATTTTTACTTTTACAAAAATTTAAGGTTTACATTAATTATTAATTTATATATACGTTTTATAGGGACTTGAAACATTTCCATGGAATTTACGTCCTCAAGAAAAACGTCGTCATAATATAGTAATAGTATTCATCTTAACAACCCTTTACCTTCCTCTATCAAAACTTTCAATAGACGCTTTAGTATGGTCTAAAACATTTTGGCCAGTTGGTAATGGACAAAATGTTTGTTATGTAACTAGTATGAGAAATGGTGATTTAAATTTTTCACCAGCGATCATAGTAGTTGCTTTAATAGTATTAGGAGTATTTACAATTTGGTTTCCTATCGCTTTAAAAAGATTGGTAGATAAAAATTATCCAAAGATTGATAGATTTAATGAAGCTGGAGAAAAGATTACTGATGAAATTAAAGAATATTCCAAAAGATTGGAAGATGACCTTTGTCCTTATAATTTCTTGTATAATGGTGAGTAAAAAACCGAATAGATTTAAAATATATATTTTGAACGAATTTATTCAAATTATTAATTATTAATAATTAATAAAATTATTAATTATAGGGTATAGTGAAAAATGGGCAGCTTATAAAACATTCATAATGGGCAATAAATTTCTCAGCATCTTATTAATTTCTACAATTTCTGAAGAAAATTGTATATTCCATTCTACACACGAAACTACTAGCATTTCATTAGCTCGTCAATCATTACAAATTTTTTTAATGCTTATGCTTTTATTCATACATTGGAGAAGTGAACCATTCCTCCATCATTCACAGAACATTAGTGAATATTTGTCTCGATCAGGTTATGTTATTGCAGCTATTTTAGGAATATTTGTAGTATTAAAAATTGGAGATTATTATATAGTTTCTATAATTTTAGTGATTATTAATTTATTAATTGGACTTTTGGTAGTTTGGCATTTATTTAAACAAACGAATGGATATAAAAGATTTGTTAAGAATATGAAAAAACGATTAGATTTTAGTCTTAATATATATTCACCAAAATTAGATTTTTCTAAACATATTAAACGTCGAGTATGGCAAGAAACTTGGACGGCATTAATTTTAACATCTGATCAACTTAAAATACCACCTGGAAAAGTCGTAGCTTATTCACAATCATCTCATAGACCTCCATATTTATTAAATTTTTCAGGAAGTGTTGCAGAACGACATGTAGAAAATTTAAAAATTATGAAACAAATTGGGATAAAAAAATATACAACATCTTTGGCTCCTTTACCTATTTCTTTAGAAAAATTAAGATTAAAAATAGTAAATAATTTTGTTGGACCTGATATGTATTACGCACCAGAATTTTTAAACATTAATATAAAAACATATTTTGGTAAAGCATATGTAGTACCATTTCCATTTAGCGTAGTAATGTGTTATGATGATGATGATAGTATAGTTGTATTAACACAAGAATGGGAAATTCGACGGTACGTAGAACAGAATGAAAATAAAGAAATTCAAAGAAGAAGGTTGGTTAGACAGATGATTAGATCTTTGGAAGGAAAAATTATTCTTGGACCTTGTTGTGCGAAAGGTGATAGAAACGAATCTGAAATTCAAGAAAAGGTAATTATTATTATTATAATCGTTATTATTATTATTATTATTATTATTATTATTATTTTTATTTTTATTTTTATTTTTATTATAATAGTTATTATTACTTTTATTATTATTATTATTATTATTACAATTATTAATTTATCTCGTTCATAATAATTCACAATACAATACAATATAATATAATACAATAGGGATTCTTTGAAAATTCAAGATCAGAAGTTCATTATCATCGTGGTCTCCTTCAAATCAGACGTAACCAACGTTCAAAATGGCGAGGTCAAAACATGAATTCAGGATTTGAAATTGCCATTACTTATTCTGATAGAATTAAAACTGGCAGTACATCATCATCTCGATCAGATAGTTCAACACTTAGTGAAGGAACACCATTTCATGAAATAACAGTTGGTCACAACATTATTGGAATTACAGCCGATTTTCAAATGACACCTCAACTTGAACGATTATTTACCGATAATTATGAAACTTTATCTAAAGGATTAGATTTAGTTCAAGCAATAATGCAACAATATAGGGATTATTATAAAGACGAAGCAGTTAAAAAGATGGAAACATTAACATATGGATTTTTTATAAATGTATTTGATAATCCTTCAATACCATTAGAATCATTACCAGCTTTATTAATGGCGACTGAAACCAATGAAAAAGTTCGATCAATTCCAGAAACAGAATATTCATCACTTATTTATTTATATGAAAGAATGAGAATAATAAATTTATCAAGAGTACATCAATGGTGGTACTTATTTTGGGAAGATCTTTGGAGAAAAAATCATAAAGAAATTGAAGATTTAAAAAAATATCCTCAAGATTTTTCACCATCTTATAGAACAAGTTTATGTTATAGACCAATGATAAGATTGGAATTAGAAGAATTTTTACAAAAACGAGGTCTTTGGAAGAATGAAGGACGTGATGGATTTTTACATTCAGGAATTTTAAATAGGATTTACTTATATTTAAATAATGTGGTATTTGGAAGGAATTCCGGTTCTAAACGAAAGAATAATAAAGGTGGTGTGGAAGAAATGCCGAGAACGTGGAGTATAGTAAAAGGAAATAGTATTGATAGTAATGAATATACGTTACGTGAAAAAGATGTGAAAACTATAAAAGATCGAATGTTGATAATGAAAGATTTGGTGTTAAGACGGGAAACAAACCTTTCTAGAACTAGACCGTTCTTTGTATTAAAAGACGAGTATGTAGATATTGATGACGATGAAAGTGAGGGGATCAATAGTTCTAGTGACGAAGAAACATGCATTAATTTTTGATTTAACTTATTGCTTGTACCTTTGCTTTTTTTCTTTTCTTTTTTTTTTTTTTTTTTTTTTTTTTTCTTTAAATTCTATTTAATTTTTAGTTTTAGTTTTATTTATTTACTTATTTGTTTATTTAATCTGGATTAATGGTTGTTGGGTTTTAGTGACATTTTGTGATTTGTGAAAACATAGAGCATTATTTTTAATACTGCATATCTGGTTTTTATTTATGTTCAAAAAAGAAAAAAAAAAAACATTTTGAACTATTCAAGACATTCTGGAAGTTGTATTCTCATATTGATATAATGATCTGAAAATTTGTATGTTGAATCTAAAAACATTAAAAAAATATTATTTTTTTTTTTTATTACTAGATAAGGTAACTTTTTTATTTTCTACGTAAATTTATACGTATAACTGATAAGTGGATAACCAATAACGATAATGCAAATGAAACGATAATATTTACCATAAACACACGTATTTACATAAAATTTTAATACGTGGATTTGGGTCAAATAAGAATCGTAATTCCTAAAAATTGACCAACATTAAACTAATCCTGTCAGGATTCCGTTTATCAAGATTTTAATGTTATTAACGTTAAAAACGTTAACGTTAATACAGTAATACTGTTAATACTGGTAGTAATCAAGAATGTTTTACGTATGATGTATGTACATATACGTATTTAGTTTTTTTTTAAATAGATTATACTTTTATGGAAGAGATCCTAATAAAGAAATAAAAGGCAGGATCTTCACACTTTTTTTAACGTTATTCTGATTAAGAAATTAAGAATTTTAGAAGACTCAAAATTCTTTTATTCTTTTTTCTCTATTTAAAAAACGCATTTTGTCAGGTGAGTACATATGAATAGCAGCTTCGTAATTTCACAGATAGTAGAGGCAACTAAATTTAAATCGTTCGATATAACGATAATATTATGTCAAAGTAATATTATGTAAATATTACATATTTTTCTTTAAATAAATGAGATTTCCACCTATGAGATCTGTCGGGTATATGTAAAAATTTTTTTTCCTACGTATCATTACCTTTATAAATACATATCGATCTACTTTTTTTTCCCATTAAATTTTAGTAAACAGCAAAAAAAAAAAAATTTTCAAAAAAAAAAAAAAACTTTCGAAACTTCGAACCAAATTCATCTTTATATATTCATGTAACTTGCAGATCTCAAGCAAAGATAAAATCCTTGTGATTTACAAAACTTGTTTTAATTCATGCTTTATCCTAAATTGTAGAATATCCTTAAATTTCTAAGCCGTGGTTCATTTTTTTTTCGCACAAAAAGGTTTTTTCACAAAAATTCTGTCTAACTAAAGTGGAAAAGAAAGACATAGTACTCAAATTTTAATAAAAATCCAACTATAAAAAAAAAATTACAATAATAAAAAAATAATCACCGGATACAGTAGGTCACGATACGAAGATAATAATTCATTCAATGACAGATAATTTTTCAAATTTAAAATTACAACAACCTTCCGGTGAAGATGGAAAATCTTATAGAGATATGGTTTATAATAGGATTTTGAAGTCTCGTAAAACTGGTGTACCAACTGTTGTCCTTTCCAATGAACTTATTGAAGCATTTGGTTGGTACCTTTTTTTGTCAGAAAGAAAATTAATCATTTTAAAAAAGATATGATCTATTCGATTAAGTTATATAACTGATAATGAATTTAACTTTTTTTTTTTTAATTTATAATTTTAAAGTCCAGGATTACGATACACTCGTGACTAATTGTCGAGAATTAGAATTAAGTCACCGAATAGATGATAAAAAACTTCAAGAGTATATTCAAATTACTGATCAAGTGATTGAACTTAACGAACAAACTTTGAATGAACTTGAACGAAGACATAAACAAATTAGTTCAGCACTTCATGATCAAAAAATGAGAGAAATTGAACATAAACAAGAAATCATTGATTTGATGTATAGAGATATTTCAATGAAAAAAGAATCGAATAATGATAAAATTACGTTTGACGATGAATCTAATGATTTGATATCTTGGGATGAACAAATGGAGAAAGATTATTCAACTCATAATATAGAAGATAGAAAAGAAATTGTTAAGAAATTTGATAATGAAACGGTGAGTAATGATGGAAGTCAACAGAATTATTTTGATGGAAAAGGTTCAGCGGCATCTAGAGAAGGGAATAAAAGAGGATATAGGGAAAAAATGGGAGCATGGGATAAAAAAAAAGGGTTTAACGAGAAGAAAAGTGAGAATTCATCGTGGACATAGGTTTAATTTTTATTTTTATTTTTTTTTTTGGGGCGAGCTTAATACTATGACTATTGGTAAAGCATATTTTAAAATCAATTGTTTTTGATGTATTTTTTTTTTGTGGAGATATTTTTTTTGTGGAGATATGTCCAGAGACATGTATGTAGGCAATGAATTTGTTAATCAAATCTTCTATTTGCATACAAATCTTTTTATTATTTTTATGATAACTTTAATTAATGTTAAAAAAAAAAAAGGTGAGGAAAAATATTCTTTTTTATCGTTTGTTATACTCTGTTTAATTAATGCTAAAAAAATTTGTATTGATCTTATTGATCTTATGAACTACCAATTTCGATGTCGTTTGTCGATGTCGATGTCGTTTGTCGTTGTCGTTGTCGTTTGTCGTTGTCGTTGTCGTTTGTCGTTGTCGTTGTCGTTACAGTATTAATTACTTCCAATACCAGATATTATGATAAAGTTACGTACTGTAAACATTAATCTCTAGTTTAAAATATTTTAATTATCTGGCATCGCTAATTAAATAATATTTTCTTTAAACGGAATACTAGTCTTTGTATATACAGTATATTCGACCCTAATGATATTAATGATATTACGGTATTAACGAACGATATTAATAATACAGTATTTTATTGTAAATTATAAAAATATTTATGTTATCAAATCTACCAAGTGCGAGTTTAGATTATTAAATAAATTTGTGTTACCTGCTAAATATTTGTAAAATGTTTTCGGATTATGCAGTATATTAGTATCGATATTGGATGATCAAATTATCTATCGTTATAGTTGTTATAGTTAAACTGTTGTATATTGTATGATTAATTAGATACGAATATACTGTATCAATTTAAATTATAAAGAAAATTATAAAGAAAATTATAAAGATCACGCATGGTGGTGAAAAGACCAACCGACTTTGATAATTCGTTGACACAGTAACTCAAAAAAAACGCGAAATGAATTTTATAGGTTCGTTTAATGTCTCATATATATACGCAGATCCACATGGTTGAAATATGTAACACGAATTATCGATCATTTCATTTTCAGTAAATACTAAACAAATGTAGTAAAATCAAGATCTTCAATTTGTTTTTATTAACTTTAGAGTTAATAGTAATTCAGCTTATATAAGATCATGCAAGTTGGTTTTCATATGAATGACTTACCCGCCCGACTTTTAATTTTTTTTAATTTTTTTTAATTTTTTTTAATTTTTTTAATCGTATATAAATATATAATTTTTTTTTCAAAAAAAAAAAAAAATTTACGAATATTTAATCATCTGAATCAAATCATGAGAAAACTTGTATGAAATGCATACACATATCACGTCCTGAATTTTTACTATAGTATATTTCAACATTTGAAACTAGGATATGCGAAACTTTTTTTGGCGCCTTTATAATTTTTCAAAAAAAGAAAAAACATATTCTAATTGTTTCAATAATATTCCTCAAGAAATCATGATATTAATCATGTTAAATTTAGATGGGTATGATCTCATAATGCTTTCGATGGTATGTATATCTTTAAATATTATACTGTATGTATATAGATGTTAGTGAAAATTTATCACGCATAATTTCGTCGAACTTTTAATATCATAAAAAAAAAAAAAAAAGGTTAACAAATCGATTCGATCTCAAACCCAAGATAATTTATTATGGCGTAAAATTTGTTTTCGAGAATTTCCTAATGATATCTTGCGGATGAATTATGAAAGAAAAGATATAAGTTTGAATAATAATAATTGGTTTAATCTCTGGAAAGAAATTGGTAAGTTATTTTTTTTTACAAATAAATACAAGTTTTTTTTCATCAATAATAAATTAAAAAATTTAATCAGAAAAGAAAAATTCAACAATAATCTTTGCTGAACAACCGCAATTCAGTCTCATGATTCCTCCGTGCTGGACAAAAAATGAAAGGTAAATACAGTAAATTCTTTATGTGCGTGGTTTGGATCTTTATATATAATATTAATTCAATAAATATATTATTTAATATATAGTGATGGTTTACATCCTAAAATAATCAAGACGACAATGCCTTATTTTGATGTAGGAATTTTTGCCATTATTTTAAATTTAATTTATATTTAAACTAAACTATAAAAAAAAACAGGTGCACGCAATATTCGGTACACTTATGCCAGGCATTTACCAAATGGTATGGGAAATTAAAATTGGTTCGCTAAAAAACGGTCAAAATTTTAAATTCATTACAAAAGTTTCAGATAAAGTACGTATTATTTTTATTTATTATATCATACTATATCATACGTGTTATTGATTAATAACAAATAGCGATAGTAACTGTAGTAATTGTAGTAATTGTAATTAAGCAGATAATTCTAATTCGAGTTAATTTTAATCACATGATTTGAGATATTACATAATCCTGTATACTACGTATGTGCTAATATTAATACTAACACTAAGGTATATAATACGTACGTATAAAATTGTATATAATTACGAATTTATCTGCTTCGATACTAATGTATAATAGATAACAAAATGTTTTATAATGTTTTATGGAACACCTGTTGGTTATTGACTAAGTCAATTTTAATGGCTTCCTAACCAAGAACTAGGCTGCAAATTGCATACGTAGCAACTTCTCAATACGTTTGTGACCCAATAGGAGAACATAAAGTAGAAGAGTTAAAAAATTGGTCGACTTAGTCTAGTTAATAACTTTTGATTACGCTAAATACTTATAACAAATGTTAATTAAATTTATTACTGTATTTGTACTGTATTTGTACTGTATTTGTACTGTATTTGTACTGTATTTGTAGGATTGGAAAAAGACAATAAATTATGCTTATAAACCAAGACCTTACGAGATTGAGAACTTATCAAATAAAGGATGGTTAAAGTTTAAAGTACCAACTAAAATTTTTGTTCAAGAAAATTCTAATGTTAAAACTGAATTGAGAAGATATAATAATTTAGAAGAAAACGAAATCTCATTATGGATTAAATCAATGGTATGTTTTATATATTAGTATATATAATTTAATAAATTATTTTATTTCTCCATTTAAAGATGTTTTCGAATTATTTATAATTATTTATGTAGGAATTGTATTCAGTACAACTTGTAAGATGCTGTTAAATCTTCTTTAATTAATAAACTAACTGCTCATATACATAAAGTATTTAGCTATTATTATAGTATAATGAATCAAAATTCAACGTTTTAAACACTTTGATATGTTTAATTTTTTTTTTTAGTATTAATTAAAACAGTATACAATACATGTTTATCCCTCATTTTAAGTATCCAATTATTAATCAAAGATACAATTAACGTTTACCAAAAATGCATTAGATATCAATTACTATTTCTTATTTCTTAAATTGTTGATATTTTCGTTATCAATTTCATTCTCAAAAAAAAGTGATTCAATTAAAAATGTCTATAAAGTTTATAAATGTTAATTCTATCATCAAGTGCTATTTTAAATAACGGCTTTTATCTATGCAAAAAGTTTGATGATTAATTAATATTAACGCAAGTAACTGTATTTCTTAAATTGCTCATATTAAAAGAAACCTTTTTAAATTGTTTGGTACAAAAAAATATTTATTCTATAATATATATATATATATATATATATATATATATATATATAAATATATATATATGTAAATAAATATATATATGTATATATATATATATATGTATATAAAGCTTTCTAGAATAATATTGTAAATACATAATATAATAACATATAAAATAATTCTAATAAACATATACTATATTTATATATACGTAAAGTTAATAAAAAAAAAAAATAAAGAAAAAAAAATACAACATCTTTCGTCTATAAAAAAAAAAATACAACACATAGTTTAAATCTCCCAATTGTTCCAAGCCTTGACCATTTCTTGAGTTAAATTAACCAAACCATCAGTTACTAATCCTGTAGCCTTTCTACCAACATCTGCGTATAACCATCCAATTAATGGTAATGACTCTATCAAATCTTTAATACTCCAAATATCCTCATGTCTAACAATTTTATGTTGTTCATTAAATTCAAATTTAGAGATAATTCTTAAACTAATTTCATTATTACACGTGTAAAATAAGCTATTACGTAAAATCAATTTCAATAAACATGGAACCGGAGGAAATCGTAAAGGAAGTCGATATTTGACTATAGAGTCAATGCAAACTATATGATGATTACCAGCTACCGTAGAATCGGTAATACTATGGATTTCGGGTGTTATGGCGAAAAAAAATGTTGATACTAATAGAAAGAGATTGATTATTTCATTATGAGATTCCACCATAAGGAAAGGATTCTCGAAAACTATCTCATATGATAATAATGATAATATGTTAGATATCATTAATAATTACTTGACAAAAAAATTTTTCAATTATCAAAAATTATTATAAGTTTATATGTACCAGCATTTGCATCAAAATAGGATTCAACAACATGCCTTTGAGTTGTCGTTTTTCGTGAATATAAACTGGAATGAACCATTCTTGCAACATCCCTTTCATTAATAGTATAATTATTATTTAAATGAATAATATTATTGGAAGCGTTGGCGTTCTCTAAAGGTGGAGTGTTGGCAGTTTCTGTATTCATTGTTGTTTAGTCGATATGTTCGTGTTTTCAAAACGTTACTCTGGAAATGTCTGAAAAAGTGTCAATATAAATATGAGAATTTTTTGATCTAAAAATGTTTATAAATTTGATTCGAATAATTCTATAAAATTTATATTCTAAAAATTTTTTTTTAAATGAAGCCTAGAAAATTACATCTATAAAATTTATATTCTAAAAATTTTTTTTTAAATGAAGCCTAGAAAATTACATATATATGTAAAACAATAGCGAAACTAAAAAATTTTAACGGATTTTCATAACAATGTGGGATGATTCTATTCTAATAATTACAGCTTTTAAACTCAGCTTTAATCTAAATTATTTTCGCTTTATCTGCATGATTTGAACTTATGAAGCAAGGAGAAGAAAAAAATTCTAAAAAAAAAAATAAAGAATCTAAAGATTGGTAATTTTATATAATGTATAACCGGAAAAAACCCGTTTGACATAAAGAAATAAGCTATGCATTTTTCCCCCCTTTGTACATAAAATCACGCTCAATTTACAACTCCTGCTATTTTGTAATAATTTATATAACTGATAAATAAGTAATATCGATATTGATACTATATACAAGTATACACTAGCGCTAATATTAGGTACAACTATGCAGTTTTTTACATAATTCAATTTCGTTTGTTACAGAGTAAAAAAAAAAATCTATAACGATGAAATAGAAGAAATAGAAGAATTAGAAGAAAATAGAAGAATTAGAAGAATTAGAAGAATTAACTAAATAATCTTAAAATCTTTCTTACAACCTTTTTTTTAAAAATTCATTCTTCTACAAAGTCGATATGAATTTATTTAAACTGCCCGTTAGTCTAATAATAATACAAATAAGGCACTGATATATAATTGATATGTAACAGTTAAAATGAACTACATTTCATAATCAATGATATAAATTACAGATAATTATCATTATATCGATTTAAGGAACCAGAGTCTATGTACTAAAATACTATTGTACAAACGGTCAAAATTTAACTGTTTTTGATAATGCCACATGCCGCCGATCATTTTTATTTTTTCTTAATTTTAATCCAAGATATCTCGACATCCACCTAACCAAATTCAATAAATTTTTATTTATTTAAATTCTACAAATTTCTACAATTAAAATAAAAAAATCGTTCATCGAATTTGGTTAGGTGGGTGAGTGTCAAGAAATCTTCGATCAAAGTTTTGAGTAATTTTGATCATCAAATAGAAGTCACGTTGAAGATTGTAAAACTTTGATCGAAGATTTCTCAACACCCACCTAACCAAATTCGATAAACTTTTTTTAAATTTAATTTTAAGACTGTAGAATTTTTTTTTTAAAAAAAAAGTTTAATAAATTTGGTCAGGTGGGTGTAGAGATATCTTCAATCAAAGTTTTGTAAATTTTTAAACGTCTACTTATATAATAGAAGCTGCGTTAAAGGTCGTTGATCGAAGATATCTTGACATCCACCTGGTCAAATTCGATGAACTTTTTTTTTTTTTTAATTCTAGATTACTACAATTAAAATAAAAAAAATTGATCAGATGAGTATCGAGATAACTTTAATTAATTTTTAGTAAATTTTGATCAATATAAGCTATATTAAAGATTGTTGTAAACCATTTAATTTAAGACATTTTAACACTCACTTGATCAAATTTAATAAAATTTTTTTTTTTAAAAATCTACAGATTTTTTTAAAAAACTTTGTAATTTATTGCCATAGTGATGCATTAATCTCTTCTAATCTATATCAAAATCTGAATGTCAAAATTCCAAAAGTCAAAATTTTGAAATTAATTGTTATACTATATGATGTTAGGTTTCAATATTCAAACCCATTTATTTATAATATGTCACATGTAAATTTTTTATATATAAAATTATAATAAAATTACTATAAACTTTTCAGCTTTGATGTTTTTTGATTTACATATTTTTTTTTTTTTTTTTTTTTAATTCTTTGACAGTCTTGTCGGTGCTCAAATACAAATTATATTACTATTAGACTA